TTGAGTAGCTTTGCGGGTTTTTTGAAGGGCTCAGTTTTTTAAGCGAGCTTTTTCTCTTGGGGCTTGCGAGATAGGACGTGACAGACGCATTCACTCAGCATTACGCAGAAAGACGTCCTACGGCACGTGCGGAATCGACTGGGGCTCCGTCAGCGGCGCAGAAACGACCAGACGTGCAGGTTAGTAGAAACGAGTGTGGCTGAAATAAAGCCGTATGACCATGTCCGATGTGATGGAATCAAACGAGACGATTTTTACAAGTTGTTTGCCACCGTCGAAAAAACGAAAAATTCAAATCTCCCTCTTCTCCCCCTCTCTCGATTTGGTAGCTACCAACGTTGGTATATACTAGGTTGCGAAAAAAAAGTACGACAAACACGTATATTTTGCCTAGCTAAACTCTTTTATTCAAATCAACAAATTAATTCTAAAACATCTGAAAAGAAGAAATGGCGCCATACATGCTACTTTTCAATTTAGCAAAATCCATACCAGAATTCATCCGAAGGCCGTTAGTTGTGACTAGATCCCCGCTCCGCGCCGGCCATACGCGTCTGAAACGGCCGCCATTATAGCCGTCGGCCCTAGATGTGAACGAAATTAATACTTTTCACGCTTGCAACCACGTTAAATGTAGTTTAAAACATTCCTCTAATTAAATAATCAAGTTTAAATTAACGGGCCAGGCCGATTTGTGCAGTAAAGTAATCATTTCGATGTGATGGAGAGGCACGGCCGGCCGGCCATTCGCGCGGCCGGCGAATGGTACGCGATTGAAGGTACGTGATTTTGAAAATTCGCAAATAAATAGAAAATCAAGTGCAAGTGTCCAGAAAAGTAATCGACGACGTAAAAGTGAGTGTTGTGAATGCTGTGGGATGGTTTTCGTAAAAATCGGTTCGTTGAAATTGACAGAAATTCATTGGTAAGAGAGTCGTGTACCGCCACTGGTGTCGCCGCAGCCAAAGCGCGCCGCCGGCATAGGCGGGCTGCACATGTGACGTCATTCGTCCAAGCGCGCTGATTGGCCGTCATGAAGGGGACGAGACTTATAAAGAGCGAAATTAATACTTTTCAAAGTAAAAAAAATGTTAAATGTAGTTGAAAACATTTCTGTAATTTAATTATCAAGTTTGAATAATTGGGTATGGCTTTTTCGTGCAATAAAATTATCACTTTGATGTGGTTGTCATGGCGACGCGGTTGTTTGTTTTGTGCAATGTTGATCTCGGAAAGGACATGAATAGAAGATCAGTACACTGTGGATAGGATAAAGTTTTCAATATTTTCGTGCGGTAAGGAGATGAAATGTAGATTATATTTTGCTTTAATTAATTATTTAACTTTCAAGTATGGCGTTTGTCCTCTTTTTACTATGACAGTTGATATTTGGCTCCGATGATGACTGGCTCCAACGTCGCAGTTTCAGTATTTAAGTAGAAAATCAAGCGCCGGTGTTCCCGAGTTTTCAAATATTGTTGCACGTGGATATAGAAAGGTATGTGGGCAAGATTTTTGAAAATATTATCATAAAATGATGCTAAATTGAGCTTTGTTATAAAACATTCCAAACTGAGAAGCGTATTTTTCTGAAATGCTTTTAAATGGATACCTACATCATTTTTTCGGGGTAAGCTCAAAATTGTCTATATATACGTATAAATGTATATAAATATAATTGTAGAAATCCGAGCCGAGCCGAGCCGAGCCGAGACGAAGACGAAGACGAAGACGAAGACGAAGACGAAGACGAAGACGAAGACGAAGACGAAGACGAAGACGAAGACGAAGACGAAGACGAAGACGAAGACGAAGACGAAGACGAAGACGAAGACGAAGACGAAGACGAAGACGAAGACGAAGACGAAGACGAAGACGAAGACGAAGACGAAGACGAAGACGAAGACGAAGACGAAGACGAAGACGAAGACGAAGACGAAGACGAAGACGAAGACGAAGACGAAGACGAAGACGAAGACGAAGACGAAGACGAAGACGAAGACGAAGACGAAGACGAAGACGAAGACGAAGACGAAGACGAAGACGAAGGTGGTTAGGACAAGGTTTTAAGTGTGGGCCTGTGGTAGCAGCTTATGTTTTCTTGAATTGAAAAGATAAAGTAGCGAGTAAGGCTTATTTTCAGCGCATATTGACTCTTTGATTTGTTTTCAATTGCTGCACAGCGTAACGCCACGAATCTCCATAGGCGGTTTGTCCAGCGGCCTCGAGTGACGTCATTGGAGGCTGGCCTGAGTTTGCAAGCAGCGGGCGGGGACACAAAAGTCGGATTTACACGGGACCAACACTAATCGATTCCAAATCTTATGCCCTGCCAAGTTCCAAGTACTAAGTACTCTGACAATTACCAAGTACTTATACAAAGTACCTACCAAGTACTTATGCGGTGTTTCTCCAATATCTCAACTTCTGAACGTCAGATCGGCATGGAACAAAAAGTGATGGATTCCAGATTCAATGCCCAACTCATGAAACCTTTGTG